GGAGCAAAATAGCAAAATGAAGGCCAGAGAAGCTTTATCATTGAGCTACACTCTAGGCCCTTTTTTTTTTTTTGGTACCAGGGATCAAACTCAGGACCTTGCTCCTGCAGTGTCGCTGAGGTAAATGGCCCCAGCCCTTTTTATTTTGAGACAGAATTTCACTAAGTTGCTTAGGCTGGCCATCAACTTTTCAATTGTCCTGCCTCGGACTCCAGGGTAGTTGGGATAGTGGGTGTACACCACCACCACACAGCTAGTGCACCTTTCTAAGCCTGTTGCCAAGGCCCTGTTGGTAGGGCAAGTGTGAGCCAAAGGTGCCATCACTTGTCCAGGCCCATCTGAGACCACCTGTGTGCTAAAACAAAGTGAAGACAATTACACCATCCCTGGGTGCCCTCCAGTTCCAGGCTGCTGCTGAGGTAGAAGGGTTAGGGCAGGAGAGGTGTCTTTGTTCTCATTCTGAAGCTGGAAGCAGAGGCGGGTGGGAAAAGCTTTTCTGCACATCTTGGACTTGTTTGGTGACATCTTCCAGGCTCTTGTCTCAGGAGGGAAATCTGAGGAAACTGCACTGGGGAAGAAGGGGGTGTGGGGCAATCACACCCAAGAGCCTGTGTGTGATGCGACCAAGAGCAATGTAACAGCAAGGGGACTAAGTGCTTCCCCCAAACTTCTCCCTGTGGAAAGCAGATGGTTTATTTAGGTAGTTTTAGGGGTGGAACCTGGGGTCTCTGCACTGAGCTTCAGCCCTAGTCCTGTTTTTTATTTTTTTGGGGGGGCGGTACTGGGGCTCAAACTCAGGACCTTGCACTTGTGGGACAGGTGCCAGAACCACTGAGCTAAGTCCCCAGCCCCCCTAGTCCTGTTTTTGAGACATGGTCCTGCTAAGTTGCCCAAGCTGGGCTCGAACTTGCCATCCTTCTGTCCCAGGGCCAGCAGCAGATGGTCTTTAGTGTGCAGTGGGGTTTTCATTTGCTTTTTGGAGATGGGGCCTCCAACTCCTGGGCTCCAGGGCCCTCCCGTCTCTCTGGGGCTGGAAGTACTGCCACTGCACTCAGCTGTTAGCAGTTTGTTTTCTTCCTTTCGGTGCTAGAGTATTAGGAATCAAACCTAGTCCCACCACAGAGCTGCACGTTAGCCTTTTATTCTTTATTTTGAAGCAGAGTCCTTACATTGCCAGAGAGTTTGCCAGCCCCTGCCCCCCTCTCCTCCCGAGGCTGGGATTCCTGGCATGTGGCGCCGCCCAGATTCCACTCAAGGCAAGAAGCCTGATGCTGGGGCCTGCGTGAACGGCACTCCTGCCTCCACGTGGGCAGTGGCCCCTAGGGTCAGGGCTCTGCTGGCACCACAACCCCCGCTTCCCTGCTGGGCACAGTCCAGCCCCACCCGCCCAGGGGCTCAGGTCTGCATGGATTTTGAAGTTTGGTTCCTTTCTCAACTCAGGTGGGGTGGAGTGGGCAATTGACAAGGCTGCAGCGCCGCGTGTCAAGTGGGAAGGGAGCCAGAGTCCGTCCTGGACAACGGAGGTGTGGCCGGGCAGAGCCAGGTGGGGGCGTGTCCTCGCGCTCCTCTGCCATTGGCCAAGTGTGGCGCGGACCTCAGATAAATACGGGCGCCTCAGCTCTAGCAGAGAGCGAGATGGTAGACAGCGTGTACCGCACCCGCTCCCTGGGAGTGGCGGCCGAGGGGCTCCCAGACCAGTATGCGGACGGGGAGGCGGCACGTGTGTGGCAGCTGTACATCGGGGACACCCGCAGCCGCACGGCCGAGTACAAAGCGTGGCTACTAGGGCTGCTGCGCCAGCATGGATGCCAGCGGGTGCTGGACGTGGCTTGCGGCACGGGGTGAGGAACGGAAAGAACCCGGGAAGAACCGCGGGAGGTGACCTGGGACAGGTGCCGCGGTTGGAGCTCGGGCTCCCGGGGTTCCAGGCCAGCAGATCCTTGGCTCTACCTTGTCCCTCTGCAATGGCCTTGGGCAGCGCCAACTGTCAACATTTGCATGTGCAGAGCGCGCCATGCCGGGAGCTTTCACACACGGGCTTCAGACCCGCGTCTCCTGGAGGTGGTGGAGACGCAGGTGGTAGAACGTCCTCTGGAGATACTGAACACCCTGCAGTACTTCCCACAGCGCCCCCTGCCCCTCTCGCAATGGGTCTGTCAACCCCCCCTCCCCGAGGAGATGGAGATGCCTTCAACATTAATGTCCAGTTCTGAAAAGGTGTATTGTTAAATTGAAAAACCTAGGGGCCAGGAATGGATGTGTGAGGTCAGGGATAGGAGTCTGAGATGCAATGCTGTTTGCCCTGGCCCTCCCCACTCCCTGACCACCCTACCTTTCCCCAGGGTGGACTCCATCATGCTGGTAGAAGAGGGCTTCAGCGTGACAAGTGTGGATGCCAGCGACAAGATGCTCAAGTACGCACTCAAAGAGCGCTGGAACCGGAGACGGGAGCCAGCCTTCGACAACTGGGGTATGTCTGTCCCTCCTGGGCAAGGCCCACCACCCAGGGCTCCTTTACATAGGGTGAGAGCTGCAACATTACTGTCATTTCCCTGAAGGAGGAAACTTGGATCTCACAAAAGGTACCAGAGATCAAGAGCTAGACTTTATTTTCTGTTCTGGGGACTGAACCCAGGGCTTTCACACTGAACTACTTCCCCAGCCTTTCTCAAGACAGGGTCTCACTAAGTGGCCCAGGATGGGTTTGAACCTGCAATCCTCAGCCTCCGACTGTTGGAGACTAGTGGATCTGAAGAGCTAGGTGGTGGTGTTTTGGGTTTGTCTTTTGGTACCCTGAACCTAGGGCCTTCCTGCTGGCTACATTCAGATGGTGTCCATTGCCACACCCAGCTTGGAGGGCTCACATAAACGTGTTTATTATAGTCTCTCTTCCCGGTAACGATCCCCAAGCACAGAGCCCTCCTTCCTGCCCAGACTCCCCATCCTCGACGGTGTCTGAAGAAATGCTCTTGGAGGAATTGGCCTTGTGATGCTATTCCCTTTTGTCTTTCCATGCCTGGCCTCCCTAGTCATCGAAGAAGCCAACTGGATGACTCTAGACAAAGATGTGCCCCAGCCGGAAGGAGGCGGCTTTGATGCTGTCATCTGCCTCGGGAACAGTTTTGCCCACTTGCCAGACTGCAGAGGTAGGTGGTGTGGCCCTGGTGTCTGCTCTCTGGACAGAGCAGACTCTGCTTTCTGCCTGCCCCTGAAGGGAGATGTGAGAGGGAAGTTGGTGACAGCCTCTGCCCTTCCCGGAGCCCAGGTGACCAGAGTGAGCACCAGCTGGCACTGAGGAACATCGCGAGCATGGTGCGGCCAGGCGGCCTGCTAGTCATCGACCATCGTAACTATGACCACATCCTCAGCACAGGCTGTGCCCCTCCAGGGAAGAACATCTACTACAAGGTGAGCCCTGGGACAGGTGCATGTGGGTCCACAGCCCTGGGGGTTGCAGAGGCTAACACAGCCCTAACACCGCCTCTAGAGTGACCTGACCAAGGACATCAAGACGTCGGTGCTGATGGTGAACAACAAAGCCCACATGGTGACGCTGGACTACACGGTGCAACTGCCAGATGCCGGCCAGGCTGGTGCCCCACGCTTCAGGTAGCACCTGGCTGGGTAGGGGCAGTGGAGGAGGGTGCTGAGGCCACAGACTCACACTCTGCCACCCATGCAGCAAGTTCCGGCTCTCCTACTTCCCGCACTGCCTGGCATCCTTCACAGAGTTGTTGCAAGCAGCCTTCAGGGGCAAGTGCCAGCACAGCATCCTGGGCGACTTCAAGCCGTACAGGCCAGGCCAGGCCTACGTTCCCTGCTATTTCATCCACGTGCTCAAGAGGACAGAATGAACATGACCCCTGAAGCAGTGATGTGGCTCAAGCAAACGGGCAGAAACAATACAGCCTGTGCCTGTCAATGCCCTACCTGTGTTTCTGTCGGGACCACTGCCCACCTTCCCACCATGGCTGCACTCTTCCCATGCAATCCCACATACCACCAGCAAGGGGCAGCACACCCTTTATTTTCTGCTCCAAAACAAGTCTCCCAGCTGTCCCGGGTCTGGAGCTGTTGTGGACTGAGGTAGAAAATGCCCCTGAACATGCACTTGGGCTTTGACACCTCTCTGCACCCAGGGCATCTCCTGGGGGAGGCAACCTTCAGGTGGGCAGAGCCTCTTCAGAGCCCCATAGGTACCTTTGGCCATAGCAGGCAGGTCCCACTGGCAGGTGGCTCCTAGCAGGCAGCAAACTTGTGCTGGATGTGCTTGTACCGAAGCAGCTCCTGGTCGCTGACTGAAGGCTGCAGCTGGGCAGCGGCCTGTAGCAGGTCCTCCATGGTGAGCAACAGGGCTGAGCTCCCAGGCTCCAGCCCTAGGGGCAACAAGGAGGAATGAGGCTGGGAAAGGAACCTTCCTGCTCAGATCTCCTAGGCATCTCCCACTGGCTTCCTGGCTGAGCTCTGGGGCTGGCTGAGTAGCTCACCTTCCTCCAGGTCACGAACCCTGCGTTTGAGGGCGGAAGTCATGGCATCAGAGCAGAGAGAGTAGAGGTCTGCTCCCGTCAGCTGGGGAGGGCAACGGTCCAGCACATTCACCAGGCTCACCGAGGGCTCAAGCTTGAACCTGTTTGTGGGCAGAGGAGACTCGTTCCCGCTGGCGTCATCTCCCTCCCTGGCCCATGCTGAGAAGCTGTTCTGCATGCGGGACACGTCCCCTAGCCACCCCAATCCCAGGGCATACTTGTGGGTGATGGCGCTCAGTACATGCAGCTGGGAGGCCCGGTCCTCGCTTGCCCCAACAAACACCAGCTTGTCAAATCTTAGGAAGACAGGCAGTGAAAGCCTCAGGGCTCAGCCGCAACAGCTGACAGAGCCCCAGTGGGGCTAGTGGAGGTGAGCAGTTCTGCATGCCCACCTCCCAGGCCGCAGGAGGGCAGGGTCCAGGAGGTCTGGTCTGTTGGTGGCTCCGATCACGAACACATCCTGGGTGCTGTGAAGCCCATCTAGCTCGGCCAGGAGCTGAGACACCACCCTGCAGGGGAGGAAGCAAGGCCAGAGTCTCTGGTCCGCCTTCCAGCTCTGCCCCTGCCCGTTTAGCACTGGGCCCCACTGCACACTCAACCCACTCTCCTGCTATCCCAGACCCAACTCCTCCATGGCTCCTGTCAGCTCCATTTTATCTAGAAGCGAAAGGCCAGGGATTCAATCCTGGGGTCTTGTCCGCAGACTGCTATTGCTGTCTCCCCTCCTTGCGGCTGGGCCCACCTGTCCATCACGCCCCCAGAGTCTCCACTTCGTCCCCGGCTTGGAGCCAAGGAGTCCAGCTCATCAAAGAAGATGATGCACGGGGCAGCAGCCCTGGCCCTGGAAAACACTGAGCAAGGGGCTCAAGGGAGGGTGGGAAGCCAGGGTGTAGCACCCCAGGGCCCAGACAGGGCTGCCAGAGGCCTGACTGCAGCGAGGACCTGGTGCCCGAGGGTCAGGTCTGGGGAGGGCCAGAGGCCTTCTCGGCTGCTCACCTTCCCGCACGTTCTCCTCGCTCTGGCCCACATACATGTTGATGAGCTCCGGCCCCTTCACACTACATGAGGGCAAGGTGGTGAGCTGGGCACACCTGCCTTGTGGGCAGCCCTTGTCTCCCACCTCCGCTGCCAACCTGCACACCTGAGGAAGGTCAGGCTGCATTCCGTGGCCACCGCTTTAGCCAACAGGGTCTTTCCGGTGCCTGGGGGCCCATGCAGCAGGAGGCCTGAGCGTCTCAGGCCCAGGCCCAGCAGCTCCGGGTGCTCCAGGGGAAGCTGGATGGTCTCCAGGATCTCCCTCTTCACCTCCTGCAGCCCGCCCACGTCATGCCAGGACACCGAGGGGATCTGGGGACAGGACTGTGAGGTTGGGGCATGCATGTGGGGGAGCTGTGCCCCTCCTCCAAGGCTCCAGCATGGTGAGGGGGCCCACCCTGGGTGCCCCCACAGCCTGGGAGTGAGCTGTCCGAAGCTGCTCCAGAGCCTGCCCGAAGTCCTCGGCCAGGAGGGGGAAGCCAGCGGCACACAGTTCCGCCTCGTCCTCCTCGCTCAGGCTGCCCCCTGAACTGGAGAGAAACAGGCTGGCTGAGGGTCTCCTGAAAGGCCACCTCCCTCCATGTGTCCTGGTTCCTCCCCTCCTCCCCAGTGCCTTCCCCCACCACTGCCTGACCCTCACCCTCTTACTCTGAGCTCTCGATTCTGGCGCAGGCTGCCCGGCTGCTGTGGGCCAGAAGGGCGCACAGGTCCCCTGCCACAAATCCCTAGGGAGCCACAGAAGGAGGCTGAGCAGGTATGTGAGCGACCCCACAGCATCTAGCCTGGCCCCATGGGGGACTCACCACACACTGCCGGGACAACTGTGCTAGGTTCACCTCCTGGCCCAGGGGCAGGTGGGCAGTGAGGGCCTGCAGGATGCTGAGCCGCTGGCCCTCGGCCAGCACAGGCACCTGTAGCTCGTGGGGAAATGCTGTCTGCACGTCAGTGGACAGGTCCTGGGCCTGGCTTGTGGTGGCCACCACCATCAGCGGAGGGCAGCTGCAGGCAGGCATGGAACTGAGGGTGAGGGCAGTGGGGTGGCAAGGATGGGCCCCAGGGATGCCCGAGGGGCTTGCGCTTCCCCCTCCCATGGGCGCACACAGAGGGCAGATGCTGGGCATTTACTTCAACCTAGCAACCCCAAGAAATGCCCAGCCATATCCTCCCTCTGAACACCCTCACGGGGTTTCCGAGAAGCCATCGGGGTGTGGCAAGAATGAGGAAAGCTGGGCCCCACGCTGTGTGAGCACCTGCTGGGGGGATCCTCATCGAGGAGGTGGTGACACAGCGCAGCTACCACCCGGGGGTCCTCGCCCAGCCCATCACGGTCTCGGCCCAGCAGGTCCACATCTGTGAGCAGCAGGACCGCAGGCCGGCAGCGGCGGGCTCGGGAGAAGGTGGCCTGCAGCTTTGCCTCTGAGGCCGCACTGCTGTCTGCACAGAGACTGGAGCAGGGCACCTGAGGGAGGGTCGGTCTGTGAGCAAGGGGCAGGTGTGATGGGGTCAGGGGCAGAGGAGTCGGGACACACAGGCCATCTTCAAGGGCAGGGCTGGGCAAAACAGGGACAGCAACCAGGACCCACCTGGGTCACCATCCCCACCCCCACCCCCAAAGGAGCCTGTGGCCTTGCCCCGTGGGAACACACCTAGGAGAGGAGGAGGCTGAACCTGGGCCTGGCCAGGGACCCTCACCTTCAACAAGTGCAGCCCGAGGCGACTGCAGGCAGCAGCCACTGCAGTGGTCTTCCCACTCCCTGGGGGTCCCCGCAGGAGGACACAACTCGTGCCTGTCAGCAGGGCACCCCTGCAAATAACACATTCCTACTGGAAGCCCTATTACACAGGGACCCTTGGTCCTGTCCTTCTCTACATGCTGAGGCCTCTGGAGCTCTGGGAAGGGTACGGGGCAGATCCCTCAGCCAGGCCACCACGCTGCAGTCAACTGTGCCTTCTGGAGGGCTGGTCCCAACGGTGCTGTGTGCCACTGGGCAGGGGTCTGGGTCTACACCTGGGCCTCTGGTGCCGGATGCTGTGACCTCAAGGCCAGGCTGGCCAGTAGGTGCCGAAGAGCAGGGCCCACCCCAGAGACAGCTGGCTGGGTGGGGGATCTTCCCTCACACTGACCTTGGGGTGGAAAAATTGTCCAGGAAGGACCTGGATATCTACTAGAGAACAGAGCAGGCTAGGGGCCTGGGCTGGGCACAGCAGCTGGGGGACCCAGATCTGGGCAGAACACTAAAGCCCTCCTCTGGCTGCCCTCTGCCCCATGTCCTGAGCAGGACAGACCCGTGCCATGGCCTCACTCACCCTGGCTGAAGACGAGGCTTCAGGGCGGTGCAGAGTGCAGTCACCAAGGCCTCCAGGCCAGGAAGGGATAAGCCACCCCAGAGAATGGGCCCTCCCGAAGGGCGTGCGGGCACACGGCTCAGAGTGCAGCCCACCTGTGAGAGTGAGGCGGTGTTGGATCTGAACCCCACCTGCACCCTGTCACCTGATCGTCTCCCACTGGGCCTCACCATGTACAAGGAGGTGTGTGTGGTGTCGGCCAAGTAGGCAGCAGGCAGTCTACCCAGAGCATCCCCGACGATTTTCTTCACTTTAAAAAATACCTCATGCCACCTGCAAGAAAGAGGGCCAATGAAGCCCGGATCCCAAGCCCACACACCCCCTTTCCCAAGGACAGGTGGCTCTCCCATCCTAGAGGACAAAGTCAAGAGTAGCACAAATAAGTGCCCCAAGATGGGGCAGGGGAAGGAGAGCAGATGATCTTTCTTATCTCCCCGACTGTACCATGCCCAGGGCCCTCATACTGAGCTATATCCCCAGCTTTTTTTTGAGACAGGGTCTCACTAAGTTCCCCAGGCTGGACTTAAATTGACAATCCTCCTGCCTCTGCCTCCCAGAAGCATGGGGTTACAGGTGTGCGCCATCATGCCTGGCTTGTAGCATACAGATTTTCAGGGCAGGAGCTAGGTCTGTCCCTCGGTGTCTCCCCAAGCCAATGTCAGAAAGCCTGGGAGTGCGCCTGCCCAGGCACAAGGGCTCGTCATCCACTCCAGTGGGAGAAGGCGCTGCCACACAGCATGAGTGGATCCCGAGTCATCACCATGGCTTCAAAACAGCCCCTTCCTCCTAGGCGTTCTCTCCAGGCCAGCACCTGAAGGACGGTCCCTTGACTATTATTCCGTAACTCACAGAGTCTAACTGCAGACAGCCTCCTTAATAGTGCCATCTAATGACTAATCTGATTATTCTTAAATTACCTGGGAAGCTTTAAAAAAACAAACATTGATCATAAATTACACAATCCCATTCCACAGACTAGTGACTGCCAAGGTCAGCCGGGGTGATGGGAGGAGGAGGGCAGTGACTACTAATGGGTATAAAGTTTCTTTTTGGGGTGATAACAGCTCTGGAGTTAGAAATGCCGACTGCCTTGTGAATATAATAAAAAACACTGAATCATACACTTGGCTCTGTTGCCCAAATTGGTCTCAAACCTGTAAGCTCAAGGCGATCCTCCTGCTTCAGTCTTCAGAGTAGCTGGAACTACAGGCTTCCACCACCACGCCTAGCTGAACTGTGGACTCTAAAGGACCTCGAAGCACACACCTGTAATCTCAGCTACTTGGGAGGCTAAGGCAGGAGAATCATGAAGTTGAGGCCAGCAAGACCCATCTCAAAGGGGCCAGGGATTTAGCTCAGTGGTTCTGTTGCCTGCTTCAAAAGTGCAAGGGCCTGAGTTTGATCCCCGGTACCAAAAAAAAAAAAAAAAAGACCTATCTCAAAAATAACAAAAAAGCTCGAGAGACTGGGGATACAGCTCAGCTCACTGGTACCACTGTCCTCAAGTGGGAGCACCTAGGGCTGGGGATTTAGCTCAGTGGTGCCACCACCTGCCTTGCAAGAGCAAGGTCCTGAGTTCGATTCCCGGTACCAAAAAAACCCCAAAACAAAACAAAAAAACTAAAGTGGGAGCACTGAGCACTGGCTGGAACCTGCTCTGGGTATAGATGGAGGATGAACCAGGCAGGCGCTCAGACACAAGCAGATGCTAGGTGCTGGGGATTAAATCCTGGGCCTTCATAATGAGCTACTTTTCAGTTTATTTTTTTGCTACTGGGGATTGCACTCAGGACCTTTCACTTGTTAGGCAGGCTCGGTGCCACCTAGCTAAATCCCGGGCCCTTCAGTTTATTTTTTGAGACATGATTTCACTAAGTCGCTAAATGCCCAAATGCTTGAACTTTCAACCCTCCTGTCTCTACCTCCCAGAGTGCTGGGATTACAATGCACTGGTGTGCCACCAGGGATAGTTTTTTTGTTGTTTAAAACAGGCTCTTGTTATGTAGTTCAAGGTGGCCTTGAGCTATGTATTCCAGGGTGGTCTTGAACTTGCAGCAAATCCTGTCTCAGCCTCTCAAGTATGGGGATTACAGGTGTGAACCGGGCCTGACAGGCCCAGTTTGAGATATGGCCTTACTAATTCCCCAGGCTCACCTTGAACTTGCTATCCTTCGCCCCAGCCTTGCAGCATATCCTGCCCAAACAATACTATGGCTGAGAATGAAAAGCACAATCTCATCTTGGTTTGGAACATGAAACTAGTCTTTTTCTCATTGGTGGTGCTGGGAATGGAACCTAGGGCCTCGTACATGCTAGTCAAGTGCTCTGCTGCCGAGCTGCATCCTTGGCCCCTTTAAATTACTCTGTTTCACTTTACCTAGAACCACCAGAGAGTCTGGGGATAAGCACTTCCTAGAACCAGCAGGCAATGGTGGTGTTTTATTTTGGCAGTGATGGTGATGGAACCCAAAAAGTCTTGCCCACTAAGCTACAGTCCTAGGCAGTGGTTGTTTTTTTGTTTTTTGGTTTTGGGTACTGAGGAGAGAACTCCGGAGGCAATGGAACCACTGAGCTAAATCCCTGGCCCAGTGATTGTTTTTTTTTTTTTAATTTAATTTAATTTTTTATTTTATTTTATTTTTCAGTGATTGGTTGAGACAGGGTCTTGTTATATAGCCCACGCTGGCCTTGAATGCTTGGCGATCCTCCTGCCTCAGCCTCCCAAGTGCTGGGATCACAGGTGTGCGCCACCACACCTGGCTCAGGCAGTGGTTCTTAACCTTTCTTCATTCATGTATTTGTTTGGGAACCTGAAGAATTTAATTTTCTCCCCATAAAAATGTACACAGCAACAGCAAAATATTCTTAGGTATAAAATTATGCCATGCTGCATACCTCGGCAGTCTCTCCAGACTTCCTTCCAGGGTCTCTACTTGCCCAGCCGTCGGCACACACAGAACATCGCCTTCCTGGACCACCCTGCAACACAGCAGTGACTTGGGTCAGCTCCCAAGGAGCTGTGCCTGACACATCCCCTACGCCCGCCCTACTCCCTCCTTAGGGGTCTGTCCACTTGGAACCCAGAATCCCCAGCAATGGTCCAGGAACCAAGGAGACCCAGACTGAGCTGGGGAAAGGGGAACTAGACAAGCCAGAGACCAAGGAAACATAGAAAACTCCTAGGTCTTCTGGAGTCCTCTCTCTCCCCCCATGGAGATGCTCTAATTTTCTTGTTTTATTTTTTTGCCCCCTACCCCTTTGTGGTACTGGAGATCAAACCTAAGGGTACTCTAACCTATATCCTCAGCACTTTTTATTTTTGGTACTGGGGATCGAACTCAGGACCTTGTACTTGTGAGGCAGGCGCCAGAACCACTGAGCTAAATCCCTGGCCTAGCACTTTTTATTTTTTAATTTTGAGACAAGGTCTCACTAACCTGTTCAGGCTAGCCTTGAATTTGAAATCCTCCCGACTCAGCCTCCCAAACACTGGGATTACAGGTGTGTGCCACTGTACCCAGCTGGAGTCCTCCTTGATTAAACACATTTCTGGTTGGAAGGTCCAAATTCACCTCAATGGTTCAGATATCTCTGTTGTCTGCCTGACACACCAAGAGGATCCTGGGTGAAATATTGCCTATGTAGCTTCTTTTAACCAGAGGCCCTGGGGTTCCTGGATCTAAGGCATAAGATAGCAGAGCAAGGATGAGATGTCATCTTCCCTAAAGGGGTGGGCAGCGAACCTGGGTGTCTGAAAGTGCCGATAAAGAACCTGGTCATAATTTCCACCAGTGCTGTAGTGGGGAGAGGACACAATGTTGATGTGTAACTCTCTGGCAAATGGAGGCTCAGGCAGCAATGAGCAGCTTCCTTTGTCTTCAGGGCTGATGGAGCCTTCCGTGTACCTCTATCAGAGAAATAATCACCACCTTAGAACCTTCTCCTGAGGAGTCAGGCTGACTCTGTCTCTTGGTAGCAAATATCTCTTCCAGCCTCTACCCTTCCCATAACCATGAAGTAGGGCTGGAGGTAACAGAGCCAAATTCCTCTATCTTCCCAGAAAGGCTGAGCCTCTCCCTCTAACACAGGGGTGGTCAACCTTCTGGCTTACGTGGGCTGCACTGGGTGAAGAGGAGTTGTCTTGGGCCACTCATAAAGTATGTAATATAGTTAAAGTGTATAAGTAACACCAATTCTTTAATATTTTAACTTATTAAATGTTTTTGCTGAATAACCTAACAAGCCTGTTTAATAATTAAATGAGAATGTTTGTGTCTGCTTAATAAACATCAATGCCTGTCTTCACAGGTGCACACATGTGCAGGAAGCTGGAATAGTATTATTGGTAGTCACTGTGTTTTACTCACCAACTCCCACAAGCGCAAACAGCATCCAATACTTGCCAGGGAGTTTGCCCTGCACTGTGCCCTCCTCTACAGAAGGTTCCACGGTCACCTACACAGCCACACTGTGCAGTCAAGGCATGAAAATATCACTAAGAAGTACATAATAGCGTTCAAAGTTTATAGTCTTTTGGGGCAGTATTACTGGCTCTCCATGGCCGTATGTGCCCTGGATATGCCTGTTTTAATGGGCACCAGGAAGCAATGTGACCTCTTTTCTTGACTCTACCTCCAAAAATCTCCCCAGAAATGAGAACCTTTCTAGGATACCTTTAACTTGGCTTACAGCCAGTGAGAGGGCAAAGACATCTCCACAAGGCCTTTGAGTGTAACTTAGCAACCAATGGGCTATTAAGTGAACACTAGTGACACTCTGAACTCAGGCTATGGGAAAAGGACATGATCTTAATGAAGCTGAAATGGTTGATTCAGATAAATGAACTCCATTCTGACTACTAGGGTAGATATTCCTCCATCCAGAAGGAAAGCACAGCCACTTCCATTCATATGTATAGATATTCCTCCTTTAAGGACTATTCGGACTTAGTACTTTTATTTTATTTTTTTTTGGTATCAAGGATCAAAATATTCATCTTTTTTTGTACAGTTCTGTACATCTTGTTTATACAGCCTCAATGTCTTTTTTTTTTGAGACAGGGTCTCGCTATATAATTCAGGCTGGCCTTAAACACTTGTGATCCTCCTGCCTCAGCCCTCCAAGTGCTAGGATTACAGGTGTGTGTCACCACACCCAGCTCTTCAATTTAAATTTAAAAAGCTGGGGCCCAGGATATAGCTCAGTGGTTTCCCCGCACAAGGGCGAAAGGACCCAAGTTTGAAAAAAAAAAAAAAAAAAAAATTTTAAAAGCCATGCTGGGGATGTAGTTCAGTGGTGCTGCACCTGCCTTGAAAGCCCAAGGTCCTGTGTTCAATTCCTCCCAAGGGGGGGTGGATAGTGAAATGGGTGGTGGATAGCAACAGCCTAAATCATATGTCTAGATGCTTAAACAGGACAAATAAGGCTGGGCGTGGTGGCACATGGCTATAATCCCAGCATTCAGGAGACTGAGGTAGGGGGATCGCCACAAATTCAAGGCGAGTCTAAGCCACACAGTTAAGCTCAAGGTGAGTTTGTCTCAAAAAAACAAAACCAAAGATTAAACATTGCAAATATTTTTTGGTACCAGGGATGGAATTTAGGACCTCACTCTTGCCAAGCAGGCGCTGTGCCCCCTCCCCCCAGCTAAATAAATCCCCGGCACAAATATCTTCTTGAAGTAGAGGTATAAGTCAAAACTTCAAAAATCTCTTGGATGTATTTAATAAAATATTAAAATTAAAACACCAGACACCAAAGACAATAAAAGCCCTATCCTTCAAAAATTTACAATATATACTCGAAGATTACACAGATTATGTAATCATAACAAGGCAGAATAAACACCGTAAGGAACAAAATGCTAGGGAGCAAAAAATAATGTTAAATTTCTGGCAGTGAGATTATGAAAGGCTTTATGAAGGTGGTGTTTTTATGTAGGCCTTATAGTAAAGGATGGCAGGATTTTTAAAAATAAATTTTATTTTATTTTATCCCATACCCCTCTCAAGCCCCCTCCCTTCCCCATGTACAAGTTTTGTTTCCGTTTTTTCCTCCTATTTTCACTTTTTTTCTCGTCCCTTCCTAAGAATGGTAGAATTTTTAACAGAGGAAGAGAGAAAACGATTTTTTTTTGAGAGAATACGAATTTGAAGTCAAGGAAGAGCAAAAGCTAAAGCTCAATAAAACACTCATTTAATCAATGAGTTCCGTTCAGGTGACCCAGGTCGTTAAATGAATTGGTTGCTAAATAAGGAATTGTATGTAGTATGTACATTATAATATTCAGAAAAAAAGGTCAAAGGAAACTCCAACCTGGTGACTTTGTTTTTATGTGCAAGACTCTTACATGTACTACTGTAATGTATACCATAAAACTACCGTATTCTACGGTACAATCAGAAAAAAATTAATCTTGTACAAACAAGGTATACTGTACTACAAAAGGCACTGAGGCTCTAACAAGTTGTACAGAATTGTACAAAAAAAACGGGATCCTAAATCCGAGCAGCGGGTGGTAAGTCCGAACAGTTAAGTGGGTAGGTCGTTAAACAAGGAATGCCTATATACACTTCAGCAATCCGATAAGCACCTGCTTAGACGGAGTATTTACTACAAACACCTGGTAACTTAACTATACCCGCCCTGACCTGACACGAGAACAGCTGAAAGCCCTTCCCAAGAGCGACTGCACTACGCAGTCTTATTGATACGTCTGATTACAGCGAATTAGGTAAGGCTAAGGGAAAGTGAAAAGTCTAAAATATAAAATAGTAAGGAATAGAGGTCCTAATTTCGACAGTTCTACCCTTCCAATTCAGTTAAGGCAGAAATGATAGCGTTAGAAGAGTTAGCATTCCTACCTGAATTTTGAGCTCTCCCACTTCCAGGGGGTCACAGCCGAGATTAAACGCCAGCGTGGCGGACACGAGCGCCAGGTGGTCGGAAAGCTGCTCTCGCGGCTGCCCGGAGCCGGGTCCCAGCCTCTCAGCTAGGTTCCAGTGAGGCTCCAGGACCTGCACTTTGGCCAGGTGGGGTTGGGCAGTGTCCGACGACTCTCCCGCCCGGGCCACCCACACCCACTCACCCTGGAAAAGGCCGAGGCCGCGGAGGCAGCTCCGGCTCACGCCCAGTGCATCGCCGGTCCCTCCCAGTACTCCCTGGAGCTGCCGCGCCGTGCTGGACACCGCGAAGGACGACACCACAGGCGCGGGTGGCGGGCAGCTGCTGTCTCCCGGCTCCGGGGCCAGTCTAGTCCGTCGGCGGAGCTCAGTCACGGTCAGCCGCGTCCCCGGGCCCAGCAGCCCCTGTAGCGCTGGGCGAGTCTCCAGGACGCGCGGCCCGGGCACCGGCAGGATCTCCCCACGCCTCACCAGCAACGGCCCGGCCCGAGGTCCCAGCCCCGGCCCGGGCGAGGCGCCCAGCAAAGCCCAGCCGAGCGCTGGAGGCCGCCGCACGGGCCGCGCCCGCACTTGCGCCCCAGAGCCCAGGGCCAGGAGCTGCAGTAGCGCGCGGCTGACCAGAAGCTGCGGCAGCCCCAGGCCGCGCGCTTCGGACTCCACACCCGTCCCCTCTAGGGCCGCCACGAGCAGGGCCAGCCCCGCCGGGCCCTCGCTCGCAGGCCGCAGCGCCAGCACTAGGCCCAGACCCACCGCAGGCCATGGGCCCCCCGGCGGCAGCAGCACAGCCAGCGGGGGTGTCTCGGTCGGGAAGGGCTCCAGGACTCTCAGGACGGCCAGCGCCATGGTGACTGGAGTCCAACCAGCCGACCGCAGCTTCCGGAGCCACCGAACCGGAAGCCCGGGCGGGCCGTTTCCGCTTCCGGCGGTGGCGCTTGGGAAAGTGGGAGGGGCGTTGGGTGCGCTGCTCTCGGAGTAATCAGGACCGTGCCTCGACGGCGGGGTTCGTAAGCACTGCGGTTGCACGGCCTGTACGCATGCGCCCTTGGAAGAGTTTGCACTGCAGCCGAGTAGCAGTCTCTCGATCATCATGCCCCACACACGTATCAACAGTTTATTGTCGCTAAGCCCGAGTGCCCCCGACTGGCCCGGCCCAGGCCTGGAGCTGTCGGTGAAATATTTAGGAAGGGGTCCACTCCTCCGTGGAACTCATACAGTTTGCCCCACGCAGCTGTAGGCACTCAGGTTTCAGGGTTGCCGGGAACGTTGTACAGGGAGGAGTAAGATTACAAAACTGTCTCAGACATGCTTATGAATATATAGAGACTGCTGGCTGAATTACATTACCACAATATGATTCACTAGCCCTGGAGTGCTTTGGTGCCACACCCGTCCCGACACATCCAATACAAAACCCGTGTCCCAGCGCTTCTTGTCCTGTCCTAGTCCCATAAAACCGCTTTTCTCTTCCCTTCAGCCTGGTTGCTCTCCCCCATCAATCCTCAATCTTGGAGGAAGACAGGCTGCGGGGCAGGCAGACAGATTAGACGCTTCCGTCCTGAATGCTAAGCCAACAGCCAGCCTCCAACCAGTGCTGTTAGATCCATCCTTGTCCTCACTCCACTTCTAACTCCACTTAGAGGGTGGCAGGCCACATCTCCAACTGTAGTTCATTTATAATCAACGGACTGGGTGGTGACAATCTTCTCTTTCTGGGCCTTGCTTTATCCTGTCCACAGCTGAGCACCTTGTGTTAATATTCTATTTTGTATAGAATGCATTTTGAAATATCTGAAAGTCAAATCCCTGAAAATTGAATATTAGATTTACACGTTAAAAGGTATTTCTACCCCTTAGCCCCAGAGAGACCAGAAACTATTTCAATGTCTAAGTATAGTTTTTGGAGGTGGCTCAGGTCATAAACCTGAAAATTTTCAATTCTTGCTTTTTTTTTTTTGAGACAAGGTCTTGCTATGTAGTCTAGACTGGCTGCCAACTCATAACAGTCCTGTCTCAGCCTCCCAAGTGCTAGAACTGCAGGGATGCACCCCCACATCTGGCTCCTATCTTTTATTTATTTATTTTGGTACCAGGATCTAACTCGGGACCTTGTGCTTGCAAGGCAGGTGGCAGAACCACTGAGCTAAATCCCCAACCCTGGCTCCTGTCTTTTAGAAATAGCACGAAAGGGGGCCAGGGATTCACAGTGCTGTCACCGCCTACCTTGCAAGCACAAGGTCCTGAGTTCAATCTCAAGTACCAAAAATAAAACAAACAACAACAAAAAACAAAACAGCATGCGAGGTACTAGGGACCTGGGTTCACATTGATGACAATTCTCATTTGGTCATCCTACTGTATGTGGCTCTGTTCTCTGCATCCCTGAGTGACCAGAAACTAGGCAGATAGGGTGGGCCTAGAGAACACGCCTGCTTTACCCAGAAGCAGCCAAGCTCAGGCCTCAGGCCTGTGGTGCTCCATATAGCCCTGAAGATGGGTAAATACATCTGCTGTCCTGCCTGGGTGACACTCAGACGCAGATGCCATCCACAAATAAACATCGTTTCTTCCCAGGATTTCTTTCAGTGAAGAATGGTTGGCACCCAGTTCATTCTGTTACCTTGCAGCTATCATTAGTTGGAAAAGCCAAAGACAATTCCTATGAGATGGCCAGAATCCTACATTTGCTCTCTTCTCTTCCTAACCACTTGTTCACTCTCCAACCTTCTATAAACTGCTTTCTACTCCTCTGAAACGTCCTTGGCAAAGATCATTAGTAACATCCTCATTGCAGAATGGAGGTTTTGCTGTTCAATTTCATCATTATGTTTGTTTGTTTGAGACAGGATCTCACTAAGTAGTCCAGGTTGGCCTTAAACTCACTATGTGACACCAGGCTGGCCTCAAACTCTGGGTGATCCTCCTGCCTCAGTCTCCTAAGTGCTGGGATTACAGGTGTGCACCACCACACCCCAATTAAATTTCATCTTAATATTTCTCTGGTCAACCTCTTTCATTTCCTTTGGCATTATGATACCTGTTTCTCTCCTACATCTTTGATCACTTCTGGAATTTGTCCTGTTACCATCTCCCCACATCCAGTGAATCACCAAATCCTCTTGATTCTTACACCTTTCCCAAACCTGTCCTGTTCTCTATCCCCATGGCTGCTGTCTTTAAAGATTGCTCTCCTTGGGGAAAGCCAAGGTTTATTGATTTATTTTGCAGTGCCAAGCACTTACCACTGAGTTACACTCCCACCTCCAAGATTTTTTTTTTTTTTTTTTTTGAGACAGAGTCTTGCTATGTAGTTCAGGCTGCCCTCCAACTCACTGTATAGCCCAGGCTGGGATCAAACTCACGTCGATCCTCCTGCCTCAGTCTCCCAAGTGCTGGGATTACAAGTGTGTGCCACCATGCCTGGCCCCAGGCTTATTCTTTTGTTTGGCGGTACCGGGGATCAAACTCAGGACCTTGCGCTTGCAAGGCAGGCGCTATGCCACTAGGGTAAATCCCTGGCCCAACCCCAGGCTTATTCTTGATGGGTCTTGTCCTCTTTCTTCATATGGGCTACTGGAGTAATTTCTCTGAAACCTATTCCACAGGTTTGTATAATTTATTGCATTGTATTTAATTATCTGCTAATCTAAGTTTGTAGACTTCACCAGACTTCGAATTCCTTGAGGGCAGGAACTGAATCTTATTCATTACAACACCTGCTTGGGCAGGGCTGCTTTTCACCTCATTCTCAGCTAGTTCCCCAATCGAAGGACACCTGCAGTAAATATGGGACTCACTTCCTAAAGTTGCAACAAACCAGGATCCTCATCTCCTCTTTCCAGGTACTCCAGTCTGGGCAGGCAAATGCCCTGGAGGCCCGTTGGGAGCTTTCTCCACCAACTGTGTGCCTGCAATGAGTGCTACTTTACCCCAATGAAGGAAGGTACCCTTCGCGGTAGGGCGTCTTTCCTCCAGTTCGAAAGTAGGTGGGGGTGGGAGAGCGGGGAAGAGTGCGGGTCACTTCGGGAGGAAAACAACAGTGCTCCAAGAGCCGCGAAGAATGGCGAGGGCACCCCAATCCGACACTGGAGCGCAGGGCTCGCAGCCTAACTAGGGTTACCCCTTGGCCCCGCCTCCTAACCTAAGCCCGACCCACTTTAGGGCGGGCCCTCCCTCCTCGGCCAATTCTGGAACCCGAACCCTGGCGGTTTGTACTCTTTCTTTCCAATGAGAAAAAAAGGAAGCAGCTTGGCCCCGATGACCAATCCGAGGAGGCGGCACCCGGTTGTCAGGCAGGTTTGCAAGAGTTCGGGCCAATGGGCGGCGCCGGCGCTGCTCGACCCGGGGCGCAGCGCGCAGGCGGCGGCGGAGGGACGCCGAGCGGGCCGAGGGCGGCCGAGCAAAGCCGGAGCCGGAGCGGGGCCGCGGGAGCCGGGCCGGGTCTGGACTGGCCGAGATGCCCTATAAACTGAAGAAGGAAAAGGTGAGCGTGGTCCTTTCCCCCGCATCCCCGCTTAGGGGCCTGTGCGGAGCCCTGGGAGGGGCCCGAGCCAGGCCTGGGACAGCCCGGGGCTGACCCTCCGGTCCGGCCCCGCGGGACTCCGAGGGCGGCCCTGCGCCCCGCGGCTGGCAGCACCCGGCCTGTGCCGCAACCGGGACAGCCCCCGCCCTGCCCCGATGGGTCTCCCACCTTCACCTCCCTCCTCGTTCTCTCCTCCTGCCCCGGCCGCCTCCCTCCACATCTGCCCCACTCTCGATCCCTCCCCTGCGTTTCTCCCCACCTCCCCCGGCCCCGATCCCCCGCCGGTTTAGGACAGTCCTCCAGAGACTGCCTCTCCCTCCAGCACTGCCCCCTGGCCCGCCCAGTGCAGCCCCTGCCCGCCCCTTCCCCTCCGGCCTAGGACGGCGTCGCCGCACTTTCCCTGGCGCCCCCTCCATCCACGCCAAGCCCCCAGACCTGGAACTGCGCCGCTTTCTTCCCCCTCCACCCAGATCTGGCCTAGGCCCCTCCCTCTAGTTCTTCCTTCACACACAAACTTGTAAGCCAGGACTGCGCCCTTGCTTCTGTCGATGGAACCTCGGAACGTCAGGGCTAGAAGGTAGCTCTGAGCACATTCTGGGCAGCCCCTGGCGGTACAGATGAGGAGACTGAGGCCCCAACCGGGGCAGGGACTTGTCCAAGGTCACTCAGCCTGTTGGAGGCCCAGCTGCATTATCAGGTGTCCTGACTTGAAGGTCTCTTCTGTACCAAAGCCCTCCTAACTGGCACTGAGTACCCAAGCTCTTCCTAGCCCGCACACCTTTCCTACTCTGAGTAGGCTCCTCCCCTTACTCCTAATCCCGGATACTCTGCATTTTTCCTTTTTTGCACCGCGGGCAGGATTTCTGTTTTCTCAGGCCACACTATCTTCGAATCAGAAATTTGCACTCTCTGTCATGTTAGTTTTCCTTCTGACCCTGAAGGCCAGACATTCCTGGACATCTGTGCTATTACTATTGTTATTAAGATTTGCAGTGCTACGGATGGAACTCAGGGCCTTGTGCAGCTAAGCATGCGCTGTACCCCAGAGCCATCCTTGCAGTTCCACAGGCCATTTCTTTTTTTTTCCCCTCGCCCTCCTCCGGGCACACCCCCAGGCCATTTCTTGATGTTGTCTTCTTCCACCTTCCTCTTCTCCCTTCAGGCTGCCTTCCTTCGTTCCTCATCCCTGCCTTTTTCTACCCTGTGTTTCCTGCTGTTGCTGAGGTCTGACTCCGAGGTGTGGTTTCTTTGATGTACAGACTCACAGAGGATGCTAGGATACCAGTTGCCGCCACCCCCAGCTTCTCTCGCAGGGCTGGTCTGTCCTGGTGGGGCTGGCTGTGGCCTGGGGTGTAGTTGCACTCTCGATGATCCCAAAGGTGTA